TGAATCTTAATATTTTGACTCAGTGTAGTTTTGTCAAATAAAAAAAATTGCAGTGGCCTTCTAAATAGAGTAATATGGAGTAATTTTACATAATCCTTGAACCAAGCAAGTTTTGGTGAAAACGCCCTGAAAAATTTCTTCCTTAACCTCTTATTTATTGATTTTAATTATAAAAAAAAAAATAAAAAAAACATTATTCCAGAATATAAAAAATCCCTAAAATGTATTAATCAGGTTTAGACCCTATCTACATTTTGCTCTGTGACACCGCATTTTATGCTGTTAGCCTGTATTCCTCTTTTACTTTGATTTGCTGCCACCGTTTGGTGAAAATGTTACACAGGCGATGAGAGACTCATTCAGTCGTGTGTAACAGAGGGCCTTCATTATGTGAAAACAGAATAAGATTACAGTATAATGGCTGCCCTGTGCTGACTTAACTGTACAGGTTCGGCAATAACTAAACTGAGCTGCTTCTGCACTTATGCTACATAAACTAATATCTCAGTAATTACACAGTTTTATTCAGTTTCTGTTATACATTTGCAAAATAAAACATGCTTATCTTAATAAACACCCTGGAGTGTAGTTTACAAAATTTGACAATTAATAAAGGTAAATCTGTAGTCTTATGAAGCCTAGTTGGAAGTCCCCCTAAATAAATTGAATTACTTACCCACATTCAATCAGGGGCCAATCAGCGTTGGACCTCACCTCCTTGAATTTCAATCAGCATTTAGAGTCCAACTTAAAAGACTATCAAATCCACACCTGTCTGCGACCCAACCGAGCTCCTGCACAGCTGGATTGGATGTCAGGTTTGTGCTATGGTGACCCTGATTCAACATAATTTCTCCATCATCGCCTCCAATCTTTGATGGATTTCATTTTGGGCTATTATCTCAGCCTGTCGAACGCCCGATGTACAAGCCAGCTTTAATAAATTAACATAATCTAGCTGTTCTGGCTCATGATCTAGCTACTCTTCAATGCCAGTTTCAAATTTCCCTATCAAATCAGTTTTCATAATGAAAATTTATACATTTAAAAATTGTATTTGGATGAATATGTTTAATGAATTGTCAGTGTCCTTTAAAAAGAGTTTAGCAAAGATTGCAGATATTTATGCTACATTTCAAGCACTCAGAAAGATCTTTATGTAGCATATTTGGACATCTATTGGTGAAGTGAGAAGGACAGATATGAAAAATAGATACAATTTAAGTCAGATTAGTCTTCTATTGACATTTATTAAGAGTTTTTTTATTTATGAGTATTAATCATAAAATTTTTAACTATTAGATCTAAATTAGTACGAATGCAAAAACTGTAATTAAAGACTTACAGGGAGAGACAAAGAGTTAAAGGAATGTATACTGTATAACAAGCTTCAGCACACATTTCATTGTGGAAAATGTAATTGTTTTAATTTGAACAAAAATGTATGTCTGAAAAGTGTGACGTCTCATTTCTTCCAGCGCAGGACCCTCACCATGGCCAAAGCTCATACATATAGCATACTAAAGGTCTCATGAATAAAAAGTTGTTTGTTTTTTTCATTTTAAGTGAGAAAAATCACTTGAATTAGAAATAAACTGGGCTTGCTTTGGTGTCACAGTGTATAGCGCACACAACCCATGAACTGTATGGAGGACCAACTGTCCAAAAACGAGCCACTATTGACGTTAAAACACCCCCTAAAAAAAAAAGTAAACTAATGGAAATTGCCTCTGTAATAGCTTTTTCTTTTAATAAGCCATGTTGCTTGCTATGATCATGGGTTTGTTACACATATATGCAATTTTTTTTTTTTGCTGTTCTATCTACTGTACCATTACTCAAAGAAAATGGATGCACACATATTTTATGGGTGTAAGAAACGGGATCAAATAGTTAGACTAATTCACTCTGACAGTGGCAACAATGAGCTTGAGGAGAGACAATGAGACAAAGTGGATCTCAGAATCAGGATTGAGGGAGAATTAGGAGGTAAGCGTTTTGTTAAGTAAAGTAGAATACTCTATGAAATGCCCATGTGTTTGTGTGTGTGTATATTAATGTTTTTTTTTAATACACTAAGGGGCCCATTTTACCAATGAGGTGAATTGCTGTCTTTGGGTCAGGGGTCACATATAGGACAAAGGTGTGAATTAAGTTTAGGTTGGTGTTAGGGTTAGGTATACACCTCAAATGGTTAGGCGTTAGACACTTTCTCGATGAACCCCCACCCCGCCCCCCCACCCAACGACTTGGGCAGTTGGTTAGAGGATCAAAGGCATTGCACGGGCCGGCGCACGTTTGTTGGTATCTCTCAGATCCAAAGCCAAACCAGTTTGCAGAACTTGGAGAATTAGGGTTAGGTTTAGGGCTAGGGTATGGGCTAGGTTAAGAGTCAGGGCTAGGGTCAGGGCTAGGTTTAGGGTCAGGGCTAGATTTAGGGTCAGGGCTAAGTTCAGGGTCAGGGCTAGGGTCAGAGTTAGGTTTAGGGAAACAGTCAGGGTTAGGTTTAGGGCAACGGTCAGAGTTAGGTTTAGGACAACGGTTTAGGTTAGGGTTAGCAGCTAATTGTCCTGGTAAGGTGATATGTGCTATAGGTGTAGTGTAAGGGTAGGATAAGGTATGGGTTTTATAGAGGTTATGATTAATTGAAGACAAACATATTAATTTAAATTTTTAGATCAATGGAGGAAGCAGAGTCAGGGTAGACCGCCCTGGAATGGGCTAAGTCGACCCCCGCCGGTCTGGCATGTAAACCCCGCCTCCTCCACTCCCTGCAGTTGTAGACTGAGGGAAGAGAGGTAGGTAGAGGGAAATGTTTTAGAAATCTACACTTTTGAAGACTAATATTGGTAGGAATTATTGTATTATTTAAGGGAAAGGTTTTGGGTTAGGGTTAGGTTAAATCATGGTGAGATGGTCATGTTAAGACTTCATCTCAAAAGATATCCATGTTTAATACCGAGCATATCATGGTGGAATGGTCATGTTCATCTCAAAAGATATCAGAGTAGTATTAGGTTAATCAATCTTGGAGTTTTATAGAAGATCTATTATGGTTAGTTGTCATGTTAGGACCTCATTTGAAAAATATTAAATTTTATTATTACTTTGTCAAACTTAAGTTTTTATTAAAAGGCAAGATATGAACTAGAGGAGAAACTGTAAATAATTTAATTTAAGATAAACATAAATTTTAATTAGAATTTAATGTAAGTCAAAGTAAAGGCCACACAAAGATGGGAGACAAGTTTGTGTGTTGTGGGGTTTATTTATATTATGGTGGGGACCCTTTTCCATAAATCTTATTCCCAAGTTCATTCATTCATATATATATATAGACAGAATTTCTAGGCTCAGCCAGGGATGGGATGGTGTCTGATTTGGGAACTTTAGGATATCATCTCTGCTGCTTGCAGATGAGGTTGTCCTGTTGGCCTCATCAAACCAGGACCTCCGACA